ATTCTGTGCTTATATCAGATTCACTTCCTAATCTTGTTGAGCTTGTTATGATTAACTCAGATGCTCAAATAGCTGATCTCATTCAACACTTCACTTATCACTGCTCTATTTTGGAAAGTAGCCACTTTTGTAACTAAAAAAAGATCAGCTTCTGTTTTCACTGAAGTAAAAAGGATTTTATGACCATCATTTATTTTATGAACTCTACAGTTAGCCAAATTATTTGACATAAAAAATATGCTTGGTTGAAAATCCATAATAAGGCATTAATTCAGTATAAGTCTTCAGATAAGACCATGGGATCAAACATTGAGTGGATTTTGGACGGCATCTGAACTTGATTAAATTACAGCATTATTTTTCAATTTAATGTCTTTATGAGATCGTAGTCTTGACTCAAATACCGTGCAATATGAAACCTATCCTTGGCACTTTGCCCTTGCTTGAATTCATGTTCCATTGGACATTTACGTAATTGTCTTGAGTGTAATTACATGGTTACGGCCACCTCTACGCCCAGCGCCCCCGCGCCCCCACCCCCGGCTCGGAGTCCGGCTCCGCCACCGTTAAGCGCTCTGAGATGCTACCCTGCGTTGGAGGGCGCCGTACAAATAAATGCAAGTTGTCGTCGGGTGTCGGGATTGGCGTTGGTGTCGGCGAAGCCAACGCTGCGTGTGTTTTTTTTTTAAAGATCAGTTTTCTCGCGCGGCGGGCGCGCGACGGGATTCGCCATTTTCCTCCTTTCCTTTCTTTCCTTCCGGGACAAGCGCTCGCTGTAGAAAGAGCGAGCGGGGACGGGCGGGGGTGGGGGGGGGGTTGAATTGAAGGATAATAATAAAGATAATAACAACAATAATAATAATAATAATAATAATAGCGTATGTGGGGATTGAAGGGTGTGGCAGAAGCTTCACACAGTCACAGGTTGAATGTTTTTTTTGGGGGGAGGGGGTGGTGGGGAGGGTGAGGAGGCGGGGGGGGGGGGGGGTCCCAGTGACTTGATGCTGTGTGTACCACCAGCCTCTGCCAGTGAGTGGTGCTTTGTGGCTGCGCTCAATCACAGCTCTGCTGCTCAAAAACAACCCCCATCACCACCACCATCTCTCTCTCTCTCTCTCTGTCTGGAGCAGCCACTGCCTGACCCGGACCAAAGTTATCCCGGAATAAGGACAGCACGCATGTGCCGTCAACCCGGATGTAAATCACATCTCTCTCGCTCTCTCTCTCTCTCTCCCTCTCTCTTTCTGTCCCCCAACCCCTCTTTTTTTTCCTCTCTCTCTCTCTCTCTCTCCCCCTGTGCACAGTGTCACCAAACCAGAGCCGAGTCGAGCCGAGTTAGCACTGAGCAGCACAGCACAGAGCCAGTGAGTGAGTGACACACACACACACACACACACACACACAGACAGGAGGGGATACTGTGTGTGTGGTGGGGGGTGTGGGGTGTGGGGGGGGGAGAGGAGACCCAAACAGGTCAATTGGCCTCTATTGCGGTGGGGGACAGGACAGAGGAATTGGGAGAAGTTATCCTTGTGGGGTCACTGTGGTGTGTGTGTGTACAGAGAGAGAGAGACCTTCAGGTTTGTGTAATTCCCTACTTGTTGGGGAGGTTTGACACTTTTAATGCCACTGGGGGTGGGTGGGGGGGGGGGGGGGACAGCACTTTACTGCTTTCTTTCTACCCCTCCCACCAGCATCACCCCCACCCCCAGCACCCCCAGCTAAAGTTGTATTTGGAGCCCAACTGCCACACAAAAAAAATTATGTTGAACCCCACATTACATTCCCCCCCAAAAAATTTTTTTAAATAAATAAACGTGAATATAAAGTTTGTTCTCCCCACTCCCCCCCCCCCCTCTTGGATTGTAGAGCCCATTTCCAAACAGGTGGTTCTATCTCTGATGGTGAACTTTCCAGCTGAGCTCGAGACGTTCCTCCCGGTCTCCTGTCAGATTGAAGACTGCGCTGCTTTGCAGTGTAATGCGGTGCAGGATACTGTCAGCTCCTTTCTCCAGTAGGGTTTCACCAACAGAGCGCATCCCCTCTCCGCTCTGGTCTCTCTGCTCTTGTCAGCCCTGTTCCTGGACCACTCCGTCCCCACCAAGGCAGAGGTTTGCTCCTAACCAACTGGTTGCAGAAGTGAGCATTCCCTTTGCCAGCAACTCCCTCTAGCTCCCATTTGCCAAACTTGCACCCTTCCAATTTTGCCCACAAATGCGCAGTCGATCCACTTCACGGTATAGCCTGTGAAACGCTTTGAGACATCGCATCGATGGGTTAAGGTGCTACATCAAATGCAAGGATTATTCTTAGTAATATTTTTTTCCCTTATTCACAGCTCTTCCAATTTGCACACGTGGGGTAAAAAGAAACTTGAAACTTGGCATTGAAAAATGAATCCTCATTCAAACAGAAATTGAAAAACCTAATCAGTTTGTTCTGCTTTCAGGTGTATGAAGGGATTTAAGTTAGTGAAGTTGTGAATATTTTGTGAGGAAGATGGCATACTTTTTTTTGACACTTGACGCTTTATCTCCGACTGGGTTTGGAGGAGGAGGAGTGAGAAAGAGAATTACTGATTCAACTTCAGGTGTATTCAAGTCATTCATTTATTCAAGCATTGTTTTATAGCAGGGAAAGTTACAGAGATTGGTATCTTTCCCCCTTTTTATGCCAAGTGATATTCTCGCCTGAGTGACTTACAAAGTTTGGACAATAGGAGGCACCTGATCCCCACAGAAAAACAAATTCTAATTCCCACTTCTTAAAGGCATTGTTGTATCATAAATCATATGAACGAGGCCACGGCTTTTACAGACTGTCTAACAACAAAGAATAGTTATTTTTTCTCATCTTTAACAATGCATGTGTCCAAAGCCTGGTTTCTTTGTGAAAAGCTGCAAGGGCATAGGTTTTATAGAAGGGCAATACTTGCAATCCTGCCACAGGGTAGGAAGGAGCCTCTTATGACCGGGTGAAATTGACGTGTTTATGCAACTAACTGTCTTGCTTGCTGCTGTATGGAGTTTGTCGTGTTGAATGTTTAAACCTGCGCCATTGATCTAAGATCTCCGTAGCATGCAACCGCTGTAGAGAAGTATCCCAGGTTTTTTTCCCAGTTTTTTTTTAAAAAAAGCTTGAAGGAATTTGAAATACCTTTTTAAAGCCTTTAACAATAAGTTCACAGTGGTTATCCTGCAATGAGCTTTGCAAAGTATTGAAATTCAGCTGTTGAAAATATTTTGGCTGCTTGGAAGGTGCCTTGTAGCCAGCTGTGAAGTATAATTCATATTTAAACAAGTGAAGCTAATTAAGAAGTAAGCCTTGTGTGGTCTTTGTATGACATGCATTGCGTTTTTATATAATTTTCTTTTGGGGTGAATTTTGTGCTTATTAAAAGGTTTTCTGCACTTGCCACTGATGTTCGGCTCAAGGACTCCCAAACATAGAATATAGAAATTCTAGTCCAGTTGCAATTAGAATTGAAAAATCTTCATACATCTTAACTTCTTTTTGAAAATAATATTTTGGGATACGGTATATGAGTAATTTGGGGCCGAACATATAGTAAGTATAGGATGCTTGGAAGATCCAGACAACTTTGGATCTAAAGTTCCCCAAACTTTTCACTCTGTTGTAAACAATTCCACAGAAAATTAATCGCTATTAGGATCTCCATTATTGTGGCAACTACTGATATGGTGGAAAGCGAACTAGATGGACCTTGATCTTTTTTCATCTAACCATTTGTCAATTTTGTTTCTCACACGAGTGATTCTCTGAGTGAGAAGACAGTTTTGTGTTTTTGAGCTGTTTTTCCAGCATTTGGGCAAATGTCCTTTAGAACAGTGGTGTGTGCTTCCCTCTGCATTTTTTTCACCATCTCCACTGTTAGAAAGATGTCTTGCTATATCCCAGGATATTCTAGGATATCCTATATATTTTAGAAGCATTAATGTGTGGTACAATTTGTCATTTTAAATTCGCTAATGCTCTTTAATGTGGCATCTCCAATTGCTCGCTGCCCTGAGGACTAACAGTGGCTAGGATTGAAACTTTTATGTTAGAAGCATAACTGCATTTACATTTAGTCTCAATTAGTTCACACCAAACTGAGGTGCTGATAATTGTTAAGGGTTGTAGGTAATCATAAGAGTCTGTAGGATAAGACAACTCCACATTTGGCATTCTGTTTCTCCATCTTCCTCTTATGAAGTGCAAGATGAATGTGTGAAGTATAAACTGTGTTGTCCTGTATACAGATATACATGTGGATTTTGTTCAAAAGGTTGTTTGTCCCTGGACTGTTACAGATGCATTTGCCCAGTTGTGCATTTTACAGTAGTTGACTTGCGTAATGCCATTTTTAATTCATACTGTCTTGACATGAAGGGCGCACACCTGGAATGTGTGAAACCGCTTTTGTGCTCAGATTCACATGTATGAGTGCAAGGTTTCCCAAATTTAACATTGCTACTTACACAACAAAGTGGAGTTGGCAAGATATTTTGTTCTAACCCATGGATTGCTAAAAGTGAATCTTTACATTCTATAGGTGCTCAATATTGAGATGGGACAACAACAACAACAACAAAATTACATTTGTAAAGCGCCTTTCACGTCGGGAGGATGTCCAAAGGCCTTGGACAGACAGAGTTTTGGATCCGAGCTGGGTGTTGGGTTCAGGGAGGGTGGAGAGCAAGGGGGATGCAGGGAGATCGAAAGCACGGTCGAAGAGGAGATAGGACAATATATAGAAATTCCAGTCCTGTGTGCTTAACGTTGCTACAAAACTTCAGGGTCTCTTTCAAAACTTACGAAACAAAATTCTTTTCACGTTGGAAAGTAAAATGACATTGCATATTGTGTGCTCAAAATTTCCCTACAAGTACAAAGTCTTCAGAGTAAAATCCTGTGGTGTGTTGAGATAGCCTGATGACATGAGGCGGTATATCAAATTCAAGGGTTATTAACTTACCGTTTACTGTAATATCTTCCAGCTTAATGAGCCGTGATGGACTTCAGAGGCAAGAAATATGAGCGAGGGAGCAACTGGTCCGACCCTGAGGTGGTGGAATTGCTACAGCTTTGGGCCGATGAGTCAGTGCAAATGGAGTTGGAGAGTTGCTTGAGAAACCAACACGTTTTTAACAGGATCGCTGAAGTCTTAAGAGAAAAGGGGATCCACAGAACAGGAGACCAATGCAGGGAGAAGGTTAAAAAGATGAAACTTGAATACAGAAGGATTAAGGACAATAACAAGATCTGTAGGGGAGGAAGGACATGGAAATTTTTCGAGGTGATGGACAGAGTCTTGTCTAACAGACCAAATATTTGTTACAGTACTGTGGGCAACACAGTGATAACACAGCAGATATTACCAGGTGTACTAGGGGCAGGAGATGGCTACCATCCTCATCATCACCACCACCACCATCTCACTGCTCATGGGATTTCTCATTCACACCATCCTCAGGAACTAATGGATATTAAGTGCGAGGAGGTGGACTCAGATGGACGCAGTGCGACTCCTGAGCCACCGCCTTCTCTCGTTCTTCACCCAGGCGGTGGGGAAGATCATGGAGTGGACGGCAGCCTCTTGGAAAGGGGACACCACAACACTTCACCCGTCATCGGAGTGGACATTCCTGCAGAGAATACCATCTCACCATCAGGTTTGTTACTTGACTTGGAGGAGTTGCTAAGACGTTTACTTATAAGAAATGCTAGACAAAAAAAGACCAAGGTCCATCCAGTTCGCCTTCCACCTTCTTGGTGGTTGCATTGCACATCTGTCCCAAACTACCTATGTACTATATTCCATAATGTTATTTCCTAAAAGAAAACTAATCTGTGTTTGAAAGAATCAAGACTTCCTGCTTCAACTGTCTCCCTGAGGAGCCTATTCCAGAGCTAAGTAAAGTATTCAGAGATTTCTTTCACTCTGTACTGTTTGCTGGTGATCTCCTTAATTATCCCTGCTCTATCACTGTATCTTGCAAAATATATCTGGAAGATCCAAACCACATTGGAATCTTTTAAAGCCTGTGATTATAACAGGTTTCTCTCCCCTGTATGTTTAGAAATTGTCAGTTATGGACCATTGTGTGTTGTAGCCTTGGCTGTTTTTGCTGAAAACTATACAGATGTGGAGCGACTGATCGCTACACCTATGGTCTTACACTGACCTTTATTAAAGGACCTTACGCCACCTATAATTCTCGGATGCTGTAATCTAGGAAAATGGAAGTCCTCTGTACAGGGCCACTTTTCAAACAAATGTGTTTTTGAGCCCGTCCAAAACCAAACTTGTATACTCTATTGAGATGGCAAAAACTAAACAAAACCAAACTAGTCTTGTTGCACCGAATATACTGGTTCAGCACATTGAATAATGCTGGCTCTGTTGTGGCATACAGGCTCAAAGTAAATTGTGGCTTGTTTGCGGTTACGTGGGCTGGGTGAGAGAGAGAGAGACAAATCAGCTGAGCTAGACACTCCTGATTATTTTCTGTTGAATTCTTTAAGGACTTTGGTATGGACAGGATCAGGCATGTTTGTATTTTTCCCCCATGATTGAACAGCCTGCCAGCAACTCATTTCTCAACATTCTGAGGGAGCTCAGACCCATTCCAGCCTGAGTCAGAGCATTCAGGATTAATTGATTGTGGAAAGTTATCTTTTGTTTGCCTCTCCTGGTTGATGGTTAAATGAAAACCAGAAAGCTTGAGTGCAAAGCCTGGATTCTGGCATGGTGTGTGTCTCAGTGTTAAGAAAGCTACAGCACCACAGTGGGTGAGGTGAAGGGTTGAGAACTTTCCGTTTGAAATTGCACTGGATTAAATGCAAGAGCAAGAAATCCAGCAAAGTATAAATTGAGAATTGGAGGATGGCAAGAGGCTTGGGAGCATTACTCTTTAATTAGCCAGCAGAACTATGTTCTGTCTAATAGCTTTGTAATCTCTACTCATTGTAAATGGCTACACTGGCAAATTTAGTCAAATTCTCTCGTGACGAGAGGTGTTGACGGGTAATCACTCAGTGTATTGTACTTTGCCCTATATGTACAACAGACTTTTACCAAGCCACACACACTGAAGATAGACGGTCTTGCCAGAAAGGAAAGAAAATGAATACTGTGTAGCTATAACTAAGTTTTTCTTCATTGAAAAGCAGTTTGGCTCAGCAACTTCTGCGGGACTGTAAGTTATGTGTTACACTGTCTTATTTTTGGATTCTGAATTTCTTAATTTAATATTACTGACTTGCAGGGTTTTTTTTAAAAATAAACCTTGAGAATAAATCATGTGTTTCGCAAAGAGCCTCACGAATCTTCTATCTCTACTTTACTCTGCATTTGGCTTAAACAAATGGATGATCTGCAAGCAGCTTCCAGACTGCAGGATTTAACAGCTATAGAGAAATGAAACCCTAACAGATTGAACCAGCCTTTGGATTCCCACTCTGACTTATCCTTTTGAACAATGTTACCTTTTCTTTTGGGGATTGTTGGAGCTGCTGACAGAAATAAATCTGCACTTCATGTTGATCTTTGCGCTTTTTATTGATTTTTCAGGATACAATGAGCCAAGTATAGGGACCTCCTCAGGGATGCGCGGCTCAGGCCCTGCTTTTTCATCCCTCCACAGACTTCGTCGGAAAAGAAAGCCCCCTCGTGTGAAAGACCCCCTGGACGACATCCTTCTCAAGTTTCTGACTGCTCAACGAGTGGTGGAGGAACGGTTCTTACAAATGGAGGAGCGGAGAATGCAACGAGACATGGAACTGGAAGATCGGCGAATGCAATTGGAGCAGCGCCGAATGGAACTGGAGAGGGAGCACGAGTACAGAATGTTCACCATATTCGCCCAGATGGTGAACGCTCTCAGGCACGGTGGTTCCACACAGAGCATGGGTTTGGACCTCAGCCAAGCTTTCACTCCGTCTTCAGGTCAAGCTCCTGAGATGGGTCATGTCCCGTCATCATCCTCGACCACTGCCTCTAAAGAGAATAGCAGTAGAGTCATGCAACAGCAGAGTAAATCCTTACCGAACGGGCTGCGAGATGTTGTGTTTGATGCGGAACCTAATTCAACATTCCAAAATTTCAATTCCAGTATTTACTTATCAAAGCGAGGAAATGAAATTAATAATTTCTGTGGCGGACTGCAAGAAGGTTTTGTGGCCTACCATGCAGATAAGCATGATGAAGACACAAACCCGAATGTAAGTGGTTTGAAGGGTGTTAAACTGCAAAATGCAGTCTAACCAGAGTCTTTCAAAGAAGTACTGATATTTGGTTGGGGAAGGGACCAACAAATAATTTATTCCCTGTATCTGGCAGGATAGTTATGTTGTCCGTTAGTTAATTAGTTAGCTAGCTAGCTAGCTAGTTAGTTAACTGATCTTTGATTCCACTTGAGAGTCAAGAAATGGAAGGACAAATCTTGAATGAAACAGATTGTCACAATACAAAATTACTCTTATGTTTACATTTGTTTTGCCATTCAAAATTGTTGAAAAAAGTGCAGCGCTTTTGTACCAATGATGACCTTAATTTGGATTCAGACACATTAATAGGGCAAAGTGAGGGCAGTCCTGAGTTGTACCTGCCCATTGCTGCAAATAAACCAATCCTTTGATTTTTCAATTCGTTCTTGTGAAACAATGTTCCAACTCATTCCATTTAATAAGGCTTCAAACCATAACCTGGGCAGCTGGCTTCTCTGAATAATCCAGGCTACTTTGAAAAACAAAGCTGTGGAAATTTTACCAATCAAACTTTGATCTCAGTTGATACTTATTCTTAATGATCTATATCGCAAAGTTAACTTTATTGATGAAAATGTTAGTTATAATGTTTGGATACATTTTAATATTCTGCATGGAAAATATCCTGCAAAAGAATCCAAGACCATTTGTTGATGTGAAGGGAATATTGAAATGCTATGAGCTGCACTGTAACTATATTGGGGCTGTTTAGTACATTGTAATGTGACAGAATGCTTTATTAAGCATGATGCTTTCTGTGCAAAAAAAATCTGATTTGAGCACATGCTTCTGATTTCAGAAAGCTTGGCAATTCTCTTCCACTGACACCAGTAGTTATTTGCTGAATTGCTGTTCCTGTGTGTTTAATAAATTGGTGAATGTTAATATTCTAAATGACAGGTAATAAAAAGCCCACACTATAGCACTGTACCTACCTTAAACTGACTGTAACCCAGGGACTGGAATTCCAGTGACATTTGGACCAGTTTAGCACACAGCCGGCCGCCTGCCTTTTGAATGAGAGTATCGTCCTTTTGGGGTGAGTGTTTAAAATATGTCTGAGCATGATTCCTTGTTCAACTTGCAGACTTTATTTTACTTTTGCTTTTATCCCTCCTTTATAGGGCATTGTTAATCTGGGAACGAGTGAGAATAAACTGTGCTTTGACCTGCTTTGCAAGAGGGTATGTGTATTGTTATCTACAACTAATTTTGACATTGTATTCTGAAATCAAAACTGAATGTTAGAAATCTGAAATAAAACCTGATTAGGTACAGCAGCTTAAAATAGTATATGAAAGTTGCCACATTAATTCAGATAAAATGTAACTTCCAAAATGCCAACTTAATTTTTAGTTTAATTTCTGTGAATTTTCCTTCTTTTGTCATGGATTCCAGATTTATTGTTGTACGACCTCTGGATTAGACAAATGCCCATAAACTTTTTTCATGAATGTGAGGTTGTGTACACATAATTCAATAAGTGCAGCAATAACACCAACTAACTAACTAACTAACAAAAACTATTTTCATACCTGCTCATCAATTTATAATTCTTCTTTGCAGCTGACACAGAAAGACATGTGTTACATAGATCCTCAACTTCTACAGTATTCAGACTGGAAGGGCCACCAGTTGTAAGTAATGAGTGAAATTTCTGCGTTTCTGGCGACTTTAGATACCTTCCATTTCCATTTTAATTATTTTGATGTTCTTTATTTCTCCTTTTGATGTTCCTTGTTCATATGCCTACATTCAGATAGAGTCCCAAGTCACACAAATGGTGGTTCTCATACACCCATCACTAAATATAGCCATTGTTTTGTTATCAAGATGTCCCATTATCAGCAAGGAACAAAAAGTTTGCTATCTTTAAACGCTGATGCTAGATGGATCCTCAGTGCCAGTCTATAAAGTTTGTTTATACTATGTTTTGTTTTGGAGTTTTTTTGCCTTGAATTTATTGATGTTTGTATCATCTGTCCCACAGTTTGAGAATTTCATGAGCGAATTGTACATGAAACATTCAACACTATTCATGTTTTTGTTTCTATCACCTCAGTCTCAGAGAAGAAGTTGGCAGATTTTTAACGTACCACTGCAAGGCACCAGCACCTCTCAAACCTGAAAATGTGAGTATTGCCCAGTCAGATTGACACTCACAGAACACAATGCTTCACTGTGATTTTTGAAATGTCTGAAAGAGTGAATATCCATCACTATTAAATTCTGCAGTTTACAACATGGGCTGGGGAGTGTTTCAGTTTATATCCGCACCAGTGTCATCAACTTAATCCTACTCAGTTGTGTGTTTAGGTTGAAAATAGTTTATCTGTGCAGCACAGAAGAAGGTGTAAACCTGGAAACTAACATTACGATCTGTCTCTTGATCGCATTTTCCAAATACTATTGCTCTCTTTCTGTCACATCCTGTCATAAATGTATCTGATTGTCGACTGAAATTACCAACATTAGATTTACTAACTGGCTACTACACGACACATAACCTTAGCCCAAAGTGCTTCATATTACGAATAGCAAACTTTATTGTGTGTAATGATGAGAACACTTATGATGTAGAAATATTGTATGTATTTTATGATGAATCGTCCTTTCCAAAGTTAACATTTTCTAATAGCATGCTCATTGCCATTTTTAGATAGTAGTCGTTAATGGCTGTGGATCTCTCTATGCCTCGCTGGCTACTGTGGTCTGTGATCCTAAAGGTTGGTGAATGCTAAGTTGTACAATGTTCTGACTTCCCTTCTGGTAGCCGAGATATACACTGATGCTTTGTTTCAGGAGTCCTGTCTATCCTAGCTCTCCAGAGAAGTACAGGAGGAGAATGAATTACCAGAGGTACTCTCTTTAGGATGAGACATCCTAAGATCATATGGTGTATTCAAAAAGAGAAGGGAGTGTCCTGGCCAACAATCTTCCAGATTAATTATTCATATACGGAAGGGCTTCTTGTGGCACCTCGCTTGTGGAAAAGTCTGCCATGTTTGTGTACAAAATCAGTCACTACACTGAAAAACACTTTTGGATCTTTCACTTCATGCATTAATATGCACAAAAATGTTTTTCATAGAATCTTATAGCACAGAAGCAGGCAATTCAGCCCATCATGCCTGTGCCAGCAATCCAATTAGCCCCCCTTAGCCGTACAAATTTTTCTTTTTCAAGTACATGTTCAATTCCCTTTGAAAGTTATTTTGGATCTGCTTCCACCTCCCTTTCAGGCAGTACGTTCCAATATTTTTTTAAATCGCAGGAGTAAGATTTCTAAATGACTGCAATAAAATACCTCAAAACTATACCGCAAATGTAGGGAAAGCTTAAATTGACATATAGTGTAATTTGGGCAAAGTGACCTATAACATGTAGGCTTTTAAGTACTAAACCCTGAACTTACTCCTCAGAATTGTTGCTGAGGGGGGAGCGGGAGGAGATTGTGGTGGGTCTTAGACCTATTGAGCTTGCTGTTGACCTATAAAATACAATTATTAAATGGTTTATGATGCTTGTTTTATTCAGCAGCCAAAGAAGTAAATTAGATTTTGATTGTGTTTTGTTCAGCTGTAATTTTCTTTTATATAAAACAGTTTTCATGCAGGATAATTTCCCTTTTTTTTAGATAGAATCATACTGCCCACTCCATTCTATGGGGTTATCACAGGAGATATATTTCTCTACAGCTCAATCAAGCCTCTACATTTGCATTTGGACAGCAAAGTAAGCAAATTAAGGACAAAAATATTGTTGCTCAGAATCTAGCTTAAAATATTTTTTTTTAATTGTTCCTCATCTTTATCTAATTCCACTTTGTAAATGTTTGTGTAAAATACTGAGTTTCAATTTGCAATTATAGCAAAATTGTACCAGTTTATTTTTCCAGCTGGGTTCTCCTGTGATCAGGAATTAATAACAATACCACTCAGCATTCCTCACTTTTGAATGCTGTCTCTCTTCTGGCTTGCCATGGTGCTTGTGAAAATCTTTACAACATGCACATCACCCACTTAGCAATCATTCACTGCATTAATGTCCATTCACCTCAAGAAACTTCATGCCCTGCCACATTTCTGTCACCAGCTAATGTGGTGGAGCCTCAAACTGCACCAACAGCAGGTTTCATATCTGAACCTCAAAAGACTTTTAGTACAAAATAGGAAAAGGTTCAGCTTTTCTTACAATTTTTTTTTACTGCTGATGTGGTTTCCCAGGCAGTTTTCGTTAGATGAAAGATTTGTCTCCCAGATCATGCACTATTCCCTGAATGAGATAACAACTGGGTAATTGTTGCCAAATTTTGCCAGTTTTGGTCTTGAGTGATGTTGAGCAGTGGGTTATTGTGAAGACTAAAATTCAGCACAGCCCATCCAGGGCAAGTTGAAAGCACATTGAAGAGAAACTTAGTTTTGTTCTGTGTGTCAAAACTTGGTGGGGAATGATTTGATAACATTAGCATTGCCTTCCTTTTTTCTTTAGTTTTAATTCAGTGTTTTAAATATAAGGATTATTGTTGTTATTAACTGCTTGGTGGAGTGGGGTAACTTGGCTTCCCTCTCATACTGAAATCTTATGCTTCTTAGTGAGCAGTGGTTGTATGAGTCTGTGTCTTTCCAGTTCTCCACTGACTGTCTGGCCTTGTTTCAGGTGACTGACGATCAGACACGTCCATTTCAGTTAACTGTAGAAAAGCTTGAAAAAGCCATGCAGATTGCACAACGCCAGGTGAGGATGTACAATGATTTGGTCAACAGTTCGGAAATGTGCCCCTGTGCAAAATAAAGACAACCTCTCTTTATAATCAGTTTTTTTGTTGTCGATGTAATCTTTTAAAGTAAGGGTTGGCATTTCCAATATCTTATTATTTTAGAATTCCAGCTTTGATAGTTAAACCTTTCATAATCAGACGGATGAGAATTCAACACAGCAGCTGGAGTTTATGGTATAATGAATTTGTACACGATGTGATATACAAAGCTACAGTTTGCCTTATCCTCCTGTATCCTGCAGTGCAAAGTGCGTTCTACTGTGTGTGCAGCTCTTGGCAAGGTAATCCAGGAACAGGTTGATCCTCAATTTTGGATTCATCTCTGGAGTTGCAATTTACACAATAAAATGTTGAGTCACTTTATTGCACCTACATTTGGTTCATTGTCGTTCAGAATAAAATCACTGATGGTTGGTTCAATGAGTGACGTTGAACAGCGGATTATTGCAAAGACTATGATTTAGCACATCCCGCCCAAAGCAAGTTGAAAACATCTATAAGAGAAACGTATCTTTGTTCTGTGTGTCAAGAAACTTATCATCGTTCTTGGTGAGGAATGAATGATTACATTGACAAGGCCTCTCTTGTTTCTTCAGTTTTAATCCAATGAAGTCCTAAAATCATCAGCAATCTGCTCTAGACCACCATTGCTGTTGATAATTTTTCACTCTATTGTTGCATTTCATTTTCTGCGTTCACTAATATTTGTGCTCTGTGACCCCCTCCCTCTTAGGGCTTGTCGATCAAGGCCATGATTTTGATGAATCCTCACAATCCCTTGGGCGATAGTTATTCGGGAGCAGAAATGACAGAGTTTCTTGAATTTGCTAAAAGGTGAGATTTCGTCCAAAACAATGGGAGTCAGGAACTGTGCAGCCTAACAAAGGTTCATAAGGACCGAGGTAAATGCTAAACAATGCACTTTGTAAATCCTGCTGCTTGGTGCAGATTAGCTGTCGCGTTTTGCCTACATCACAATATTATCTTCAATTCTGCTTGACTAAATCTCTGTATTTTTTCCTTGTGCTGTAGGTACAAATTGCATGTAATAGTGGATGAAGTGTACATGCTCTCAGTGTTTGGTGATGCCTGTTCTTTCCAAAGTGTCCTCAGCTTGCAGAGGTGAGCCTGCATTTTCCATTGGACAATTCGAATCTGCTACGTGTATTGCCACCGCAGCTGCAAGTGTCATGTTCGGGAAAGGTTAAATAAAATAGGATTCTGCGAAATGGTGAGAAATGGAGAGGCTGGAAGGCTTACATTAGAATTACAGTACAGAGATGCTAAAAGGAATCCACTTGTTCACCTCTTATAGTTTAAACGTGTCTGGCTACAGAATGATGAGTTTTTATCTGTTTTTGGCATGTGTAACATGTCACTTGAATGCTGCTGGTACATTCAAGGCAAGGTTATGTACAGTATGTGGACCAGGCAAGAATTAACCAAATGCAGCATATGTTGCCTACTTTCTGTTTTTAATCTGACATGTTACACTTTGACTAATTGTTTTGGAGGTGGTGGGAAATTGGGCAAAAACTGAAGGTGTTGATCAATTTCATTAACTATAGATTGACTGACTTCTTGGCTGGTTTGTTTTTCTTCACTAAAACTTTGTGAGGAAAAATGACTGACTTTACACTATTTCCTTAATTTTAGTTGGCACTTTTCCGTATATTTGTCTGTTTGTGTGGCTTTTGTTTTTCAAAGTTTATATACTTGCATTGTACTATTTTTCAGGCTACCTGATCCTCAGAGAACTCATGTGATGTGGGGAATTAGCAAGGTAAAGCATTGATAGTTATCAGTGGTTAAATATGTGTTCACTTGTGATGGGTTTCATGTGTTTATCCAGCAAGATGAAGACCTGACTAGAGTTGGATTTGCATGAGTTTGCAAAATATATGCAAATATATTGCAATATAAATTTCGTGGGAAATAAATATCTTACCTGATTAGATGTTAAAATACCAAAATGTAACTTTTATTGTAACTGTCTAGGTCCTTGAAATTAGAATGTGCAAATCAAAGCCATTTCTATCAGCAGGGAAATTGTACCAAATAAATGAAAGCAAAGTGCAATCCTGACATTTGTTGATAGAAACCAGAACTGCAAACTGGTTTGATATTGTGTAACTTGCCAAGTACGCTCCACATAACACGGAAACTTCTCTAGCACGTTTCATGTAAAGTGAATGCCTTTAAGTGCTTAGCTAAGTGCCTTGGCTTGTTGTTTACATTTTTAGCCTGATAGTTTATTTTACCACATAAGCTTTTATATATTGCAACATGACTTGGAATCCTGCTAGTACATTCGAAGGGAAATAGAGCCTCATCAGAATTGATGTTAATGAAGGGTTTTGTCATTACTTAGGATCTGGCAGCCAGTGGACTTCGAGTAAGTACACTGTACACAGCGAACATGGACATCATCAGTGCCTTGGGCCAGCTGTCCTATTTTCATGCTCTTCCAGGACCCACACAACATGCAGTAGCACAGTTATTGAAAGACCGAGGTAAGGTTCTTACATTTCCCATATTGATGTAGGATATCTTGTCAAGCAAGGAGTAAGCTTCCAATATTCCAGCGACGGAAGTGGCAGCCTCGACAACTCACAATATAATGTTTCAGCAATTGATCCTCATACCACAGCCTGTGACTGCCATTTGCTAACTGTGGATGTTCACAAAATGATATGGACCTATTATACAGGTTGCCCAGTATCTCATCCGTAAGTCTCCAGTATTAATGTGCAATTCTTAGTCGTGAGTCTGCTATTGGATAGGGAGGTGGGGGGGAAGAGAAGAGCAGGAGAGAGAGGGTTTGATTGTAGATAATCTTGTCCTCCCCTGAAACTTCACATCCAGCCCATTCCAGCAGAACTCTCTGGATAGTGATTGGGAGCAGGAACCATGGCTAGTTTTCCACTCGCTCGCCAGGGCCACTGAGGTCAATTGTCCTAACTGTTAACTCAGCGCAGAATGAGATCTGAAACTGAAACCTTCTGTCTGGCCCTTGTGCATTTACCATCAGGGAGCTCGGAAATAATGTATCATATACATATATATGATATAACAATTCAGAATTTGAAGATTAATTGCAACAAACTATGTAATTTTCAGTCATCCATTAATTTTTTAAAAATATGTTTCACTTTTTTGTAGATTGGATCAACCAGGTGTTTTTACCAACGAATCGTGCCAGGCTAAAAACAGCTCACAAGTACATAGCAGACGAGCTAACAGCGATGGGCATTCCTTTCCTGAACCGGTCTGCAGGCCTTTTTATCTGGGCTGATTTTAGAAAGGTTATCTGTGCAGTATTCTTCGATATTCCTTTTGTCTCCTGTCTATTCATCTTTAACATTGGCGCTTTGAACCTTCCTTTAGTATTTCTTCCCCAGAGCAAAAAAACACAGCATGAAATTCCAGAGTATCATTTTAACATTTTCAGGCAAAGGAATTGAGAGTTCTGTGGGTAAAAAATTAATATTTGAAGTTTACGGAAATCAAAGGAACTGTAAGACTACAAATTCAGATACTATCCTTTCACCGTCTATGATTTGGGTTTCAATTCAAACCAGTCTGCTCTGTTGGTGAAAGTCCAAATTGATACGAATTTGGAATAAAGTCAACTCTGCTCCAACAGAATTTGATTCCAATAATCAGAAGTATCTATAATTTAGCTCAAATTGGCAGCCTTATTGGGCGAAAGGTGGAGGGTGGGGGGAGCGGTACAGTCAGTCAAGGTTCCTGCTCAGGATCATTATTCAGTGATCTCTGCTGTAGAACATGCATGTCAGTGTGCATTGGATGAGAATAGGATGGGGCTAGGCTGACATAGCCTCATCTGTAATTGTTTGATGTTGGTGCCAAGTGGGAAAACGTTCCTTTCCCCAGTACTGACATCTCTCACCTGATCCGATCTGCAAATCCTATTGGGCAGATGATGTACCTTTTGGAACTCATCTCATCTGCTGGCCTTTGATCTGCTGATGCTGCAATTCTGATCAATTTGTGTAATCTTTGTAAATGCTTGTTGTTTAGCTTTTGTCAGGTTCTTTTCCATGGCTGAAGTAATGTATCATGGAACCTAAACTATTGGAAATTTTAGACAAGTAAACTTTATCTGCCTCTCAAGCCTGATATAACAACCACAACATACATTTGTATAGCGCTTTTCATTTGAGAGCGACGTTCCAAGGTTCTGGACAGTTCAGTGTATATATGTATATTGTGACATCTTGGGACCTTTTCTGTAGTCATTAGAAGAAACTGTTTTTCATGTGAGTAAATGAGCAGATGATCTGCAACCACACTTGGTGTGTGTCTCTTCTGATTCAGTATTTAAAGAGCCCGACATTTGAAGAAGAAATAAAACTATGGAGGCAGCTTCTCGAAAACAAGGTTCTCATCAGCAATGGGAAGGAGTTTTTCTGCTGTGAGCCAGGATGGTTCCGTATCGTGTTTTCTGACAAAACCTACAGAATACAGTTAGGTGAGATCACTGACGCACTATTTTAATGGATTGCTGTTGCTTCCAATTTGGTGTTTTCTTTATCCACTTTGAACCTTCTCTATCCCTTCTAAATATTTCCTTTCAGCAAATTCTGATTGTTTATGAACTGTACAATCAAAGACCCTAACTTGGATTTTGGTTTCTTCAGTAGATATTCGGGATATTGCATGTGCAATATGGTGCGATATGAAGTTTATTATTCTTTAAATATTCTAACAATATGTCCAACCAAGCTTCAAATTGATGACTTGTAAGATGAAAAGCTTTTGCTCTTGCCAACCTGCATCTGACTTTTCTCAATGAGCTGTGCTATAAGGAAACAGTAGGCACTCCATTCCACATGAGGAAAATTTGCATGCATAGGTGGCATGTGGATGTGATACTCTCTGTTTTGAATATTCTTAAACATAACGATGGATTTCCATGTCTGTCAGACGCTGGTTAACCAAAAATAAATAGCGTGCATGATTTGCAGATAGTATTTCTTAAGGGTGAGTTAAGATATTCGGGTTCGCAAAAAAGTATTACATTAAATTCTCATTGATTTGTTGTATGTTGAGGAGAGAGTAATTTCAACCTCAATGTTGCTGTGTTGTGATTTGTTTCCTGTTCATGAACCAGGTCGTAGTGGACAAAAATGTATATGTTTTGAACACCAAACCAAATGGTGTAGTAATAAACCAGCTCTTTTGTTGTAGGGGTTAATTGTATAAAGCTGTGTAAGAAAGAGGTAAAAATTGTTAGTAATTGTTAATAAAAAAAACTCAGTGCTTAGCAGATTTCACTGTGTGTCAAGTGATAGGATTTTATTTGGGGATTTGGAAAGACGATCACAATAATTTCATACAGCATGTCATTTAATGTCAGGATCATTACAAACCAACTGTGTGGCTTCATCAGCAGGTTTTTAATCGTTGTAGTTAATCTCTGCTTTATTCATTGTTTACATGAATGTCACTGTCACTCTATGTAGGAATGCAGAGGCTCAAGAAGGTCCTAGAAGCGCAAGAGACCGAAGCTCCACCTATTGCTAAGGAGCCCCCCTGTCCGCCCAATGCAGAGAGTAAAGCTGAAAGTGCTGAAGATCTCCTCGATGTCGCTGGGCAGCCTGAACCCCCCAACCCTGCCCTCGATGGTCTCATTGGACTTCTGAGGCAGCAGATGCGGACATCCGACTGGCTGCAGAGAAACACGGCGGAGCAGTTTGCTCAGGAGAATCCAGAGGTGTATGAAGTCTTCTGTAAACTCGCAGAAAAGTAACCAGCCTTTGATGTCAGTTAACCAATCCCCTCTGTGGTGCTCCAGCCAGGTTTTGAGATCTTATCTGTAGATCATTTCACACTTTATTGGGTATCACATACTGTTGGGTTAAAAACTAGTCTTAACACTTACTTGGTTTGTATAACAATGCTGGTGTTTTTTTTAAATTTTCCTTTCCCTCAACCTGACCTTACAAACTCATGACCAGAGCCGTTGGCCTTGCCAACGACTTGATAGATTTCTCCTTCCCATGGATATTAAGGGCCGTGGAGATGGGATATTTGGGGTTTTCTGTGCATGTTGAAGGAACAAAGAAAACTGTTCATCGACACTAATTGAAAACGTGTTGAAATTTCTTCCAACAGAAAATAAATTGCTCTGTGAAAGTCTGTTCAAATAACGTACCACAACCCAGATGCTAAGTGCTATGAATCATGTGCTGCTGAGTTGCAGAGAATTGCAGCTTGCAAAAGCAAAACATTTTTTTTTTTTTAATTATTGGCTTTGTCACAGTAGGGAAAGGAGAGAGCCAAAGACCTCTCCTGCTCCTTGGAGGGTGACACCACTTCAATTGCCTCTTATTCTGTGACCAAGCTACACAACAGTTTGACAATTTGGCTTAATTTAAAAAAGAAGTTGACGTGATCCACGTTCCACAATTGAAGAACGACACAAAATACAGTTAATCTGACCATCCTGATGTTGTTCCATTCTGATTACACGACATGACCCTTGAGCAGTGTTTATTCCTCCTCCTCCCCTATCCCCGCTGGCGAATCAATTGTTGTGTTATTCATTCGGAACCTCAACACACACAAAAGGAGTCCAGAGTCCTTTTTTTTTTGGTCAGCCGGGTGTCTGAACATGCGAAAACCCATCACCGTGCTAAAGAGTATCCAAACCAAACTGAGATTTCCACGCATCCCACCTACACATCTAAATTCCAGAGATAGATTGTTAGAATGGAATGCGCTTTCTCTCCCTGGAGGGACATGTTCTGCTTACCTAATCCCGGAAAGTATTTGGCGCAGGTTGGCAAGACCTGAGGGACCCCAGAGTGTGTGCTGCGGAGGTTGCTGGAGTCTAAACCAGTTAAATTCGCATAGGTTGCCATTGATAGTGTACTTCTACGATGGAGTCTTTTGTTATTTATTAAACTTACCCGTAGGACCACATCTGTGCTCTGTGTTTAATAGTTTTACCGTTAAAATTTAGTCCCATTTACAGTATGGCTTTTTCCTAAAAACCTTGTCTTCTGTTTCAAACAGGACAGAGTGAAACCAATGAAGCCAATCTGAATATTAAGAAAATGAAGTTATGAAAAATATTGTATCTACAAAAATTAATCAGGCGAGTCTGGATGTCATAATAGCCGTCGACACTGCTCTTTCATCTCTGGGACAAGGGTTTGTTTGCAGCCCAGTTATTACAGTACAGTTTATATTTATAGAACATCTTTCATGTGGGGAGGATGTCCCAAAGTACATTCACAGTGCAGAATGGGCACCCAAGCTGGTGGTGGGAGCTGAGTGGGGGTGGGATGGGATGAATGCCTATCATTTGTTAGCTGTAAAAGATTCTTTTTATGAAATTAGTTGGGACATTCTAAACCCACGCCTTTGGAGATCAGGTGACAGCACAAAACTGCCAATAATCTGGTACTAAATGGCAAGTTTGGACAATAGGAGCTACTACAATGGCTTGTGAGAAGCAGAGAATATACACTGATATCTCTTCTACAGTTAGGGCTGAGACAAAGTAGAATAAGATCCTGTACAAGTTTTCACCAAGTCAGAGAATGGTGCCTACTTATTGGCGAGCAGAAGAGTCTTTGAAGCAATGTGTAAGGACCTGAAAATATTGATATTGATTATTGATGTTCCCAAGTTAATTTCCAGCACATTAAATGTTCTGTTGATTGTTTTTGCAGTTGTTTATCATTATTTTCAGCATTTTAGACAGTTTAATAGCCAAGTACAGAGGTGTTTAAATATCTTTCTCCATAACACAACCCGTTCCTTCAATGGATATTTCTTTTTTTAAAAAACACTCCAGAGTAATAATGGTGCTTTTACATTGAAAGTGTTATTGATAGTAATAGAACAAATATGAATTCTGTATATTAAAAGCCCAAGCACCCCCATTTGTGCTTTTATAAATCTCTTGTTGCATCCTCCACCTAATTTGTACATATTAAGTTGGAATTTTATACATCCCATTTACATGCCTTATTTGAAGGTGTTAGGCATTGCTATACTGGCAACTACTAAATGTACCGTAGTAGATGGTTGTAAGAAATTAGTTTTTGTCTAATTTAAACGGAGTGCTGTTCATTGGGAGTTTTTTTCAAGGAAAATCTATTATGAAAAATAAATCATTTGAGGAGTGTTGCTGAGGAATGCATTGTAAAGATTTGTTTTTACAGACTTTCTGTTTTTTGGGGGGAAAATAATTTTTAAATGGACTCAAGTCGAGTTTTGAAGTTTTTTTTTAAAAAAAGGAATAAAACTGTAAGAAGTTTTCAAACTGGCCACAGTCGAATAAGTTTTATGAAAACTAAAATAATTTTTAGGTGTTTAGATAAACAGCTACAATTTAAATCAAATATTTAAATTTACACCAACATGCAGTTGGTCCAGATTTGGTGAACGCAATGGAAAATCCAGTTGATTGGAAGTAAAGTGAGTCAGTTTCCTTATGATTCAGTCACCCTGAGGTCTTTTTCACCCATCTCTTGTGTTGGCAATGATAGTTTGCAGGAATTGCCTGTTTATTTGCAGCTATTTTGAATATGCAATTAAATAGCAGGGCGAGGCTTGGTGTCAAAAGGTGTTTTTTTTTAATTGCAAAGCATTTCTTAACAATACTCTGTATCATGTTGAACTGACGATATGTGGAATAATTTGTCTCTTTTTAACACCTAATCCCTGGAAAATCCTGGATATTAAATATTTGACAGAGCTGGATTTATGGTCTTGCACTCACTAACAGTTACATTACAGACCTTTTCTTAAATTGAAAAACAAGGTATTTTTATGGGGTTTTTTTCTTCCATCAATGTGCGGTGTTCCTTTTATAATTAATTCCAGTGGTGATCGTTTTCCTAGGGACACATGAGATGTGGCACTTCTTGTATTAGAACCTTTGCCTTGGCACAAAGAATAGGTCGCCATGTGGCCTAGCTGTGTAGAGTAAAAATATGTCGATGTGAAGCGTGTGCTGTGAACCCAATGGGGAGAGATGTATTTCATGTAAAATGTATTGCACCCAATGTTGTATTATAGTACAACATGCTATGTATGAATGTAGAGGAAACTATGTACCACATTGTCACTTTTTAATGCAATCATTACCAGAAGATTATTAGTTTTTTATTTTTTACTCTGTATCCATATGTGTAGTAAAATTACAAGTTATTGCCACTTAAGCATTTTGCTTTGACTCTTGCACCCCATGTAAATAACAACTTACAACAACATCTTGCATTCATATAGCGCCTCTCACATAAGATAGCATCCCAGAGCTTGTGGGATAACACATGTGCCCACGAGCAGTCTTTAAGGGTTTTGTGACTGGTTTGCAATCCTTTTTTAAATGAGACGACAATCTACAAATTAGAATTAAATCACTACCACACGCACTAGGGAGTCATTGCAAGAATACTGCTTACCATCTGCACACCGCAGTGTATCAACGATAATGTTAGATAATTGAGCCTGTCTTAGAACGCTAAAATAACAATCCTTGCATTTACATAACGATATTGTCAAAACATGTCTTCACAAGTAATTCTATAAAGTGTTGTTATAGGCAAAATGGCAGTGAATTTCCACAGAAGCCATGAAGTAAATGAGCAATTAATCTGGAGGATTTTTGGCTGGACCAGTGGGAGAAACTCTTCTCTCGTCAAATAGTTTTATGGTATCTTTAATGTGCATCTAAATGAAGTATGGCACCTCTGACCATATAGTTCTCTTGGCATTAAATTGCAGTGCGAGTCTGGGCCGAAGGTCCCAATATACATTTAGAGAGCATCAATAATGTAGGAAACGTTTTAAGAAAAATGGATCATTATGGTTCTAACTGCATCTGAGGCATCATCTTAATGGAAGCTAAACACTGCATCAGCTTTGGGTTTATTCTAGTTATTTTCCATGTACTGGGATATCTTCCACAACTAAGTTTAAATTGAAGAAGGGAAGGCTTAAGGAATATCTTTCCGATGTGGTTTTCATTCACCCATGTTCTGAGAACTGAGTGGCACAGGAATTTACTCCCTTGCATCTCAGTAAAAAAATATGAGTTCGGCCATTAAATGCATTTACTCAATAGTCTATTCTGCTTTGGGTGAAATTAACAAAACATTCTGTAAAAATCAACAGCAAAATGAAATGCAACTAAATCTTTAGTGCCAACTCCTGGTTCTGATCTGTACCAACAATGTTAGTCAGTCGAAGTATGACAACAGTACTGAACTTTCAAATGATTCAAATGATTTCAGTGATTCAAATCGATTGTCTTTTGAATAAATATATTTGTGTTACAAACTAAAATAGTTCTGCAACAAAATAGAAATACTGGACTTGTTTCAAGTTTCCAGCATCTGCAGTTATTTTCTGCCGCGGTCTGGGTTAGCTACATTGAGAGCTGAAACACGATGCTGATTCATGTCCTAAATGTGGTTCTTGCACACATCAACTGGTAAAAACCCCAAGAGCTGTATTCAGAAATAATTTGCAAAGACTGCACTTATGGCTTGATCACTGAATCCAGGAAACAACAATCAGTTTGTCACCAAAAAGATAGATTGTCAGATTATCCAGCAAAGAAAGCGGCCCTGTGGAAGCAGAATGTTTATGTGGGTTTCCACTCAGATTGCTCTTTAGTTTCCTCTTGCAAATCCTCACTTCACAGACAGGGACCTCTTGTATGTCAATTACAGTAATATTAATATACAAATTTTCTGTAAAAGACTGACTGCCTTCTGTGGTAACAAGGTGAGGGTATGGTCTTTGAAGATGTGCAGTTTACCCCCATTTCATTTGGCTGTTAAAAAATGCAACAGATTTATATTGCAATGGATGGAGATGAAATATTGCACTTAGAAGGAATAACTTTATTAAAGCAGCCCATCTGCTCAGTAATATCTACAGCACATGGGTTAGCAAGAAACAGTTTGAACAACAAGAAGCCATGTGCAATACTATTCTACAAAATTCTGCCCTGGGTAGTGGGTTTGTATCCACACAACCAAGGTCCACGTAGCCCAACGTGTTAAAGGTAAATGAAGTTGTTGGTATGAAGTTTATAGATGCCCTTGCATCCATAGACCTGACTTATTATCCATTAGTTCTATGGATCTTATGAGTTCAAGTATCTTGGCTATCCTCTCAATAGTTCTTTCTGAAGCCAGCCTTTTCCAGGTCTGAACAGAATGTCTTTCAAATGTAGGCTCTGAACCAATCATTGTTTTAAAAATAATCTTCATCTTCTAGAAGCTGCCAGTGTTCGAAAAACAACAACGCATGTGTTTTGAATGCAAGCTCGTACAAGGTGTCCAAAAAGTTGTGATACCATTACAATGTCTAATAAGTCTTAAAGAAATGATTTTTTTTTTCTCTTTTTAGGTAATAGGGCAGTTCTCACGATTTTTGGCTCAATCTCTTGGTCGGGAGAAATGCACAGCTCGACAATGTAGGTAACTGGTGAAACAACCAGCAGAATGACCCAAGAGAAGGTTCCCATCCAAAATGAAGAGCCAAGTTGCTTAATATCCTTGATTTGGTGCTTGTAGTGTTTGGTGAACACAGACCATGTGATGAGATACAAGAAGCCTGGGGAGAAAGCATAATGTATAATGATTTAGTTTTTTTTAAAAAGAAACTTTCAATGTTGTTATAGCTATTCTTAGTTTATGACGAACTGGCAAAAAAAAAAATCAATTGAAAATAGTTGCAAGTGGCTAGCATTAAAAAGTATATCCTGGAACACATGTATGTATCCTCTTTGTTGCTCAGCTTGAGGTCAAGAAATGCATAAGGAGAACTAAGTGCAAAATCAATGCGGAATAAAAATTGGACGTATGATGTGTAAATGACCACAAAGTTCACAACAGTTACCCACCTTGTTGCAATTTAGCACCAGCATTTAATGTGCCAATAGTCTTAGATAATGGGAGTCCAGCAGAGAAATATTGTACTTTGTTTATATTCAACATATTACTTTGAAAAGGGAAACAGCAAGAATTAAAATTTTGTGCAAATCTATCCAAAGCCATTCTGTATGGATACTCTGGGGGAATTTGGAGTCCTGTAGCTCAGTGGTTAGAGCACTCGCCTCAAAAGTGAGAGACATGGGTTCAATTCCTGGCAGGGCGAAATGTGGGCAAGTTTCCCTACTCCACATGCCTATGTTTACCTAGCAGTAAGTAGGAACCCAGTTGTTAGCCAATTGGGGTATTGCTTTTCCGGGGGTAATAATTAATTCAAAAAAATAAAAAATTGGTCACTCAATCCACGACTGTTTGTGGGACACTGCTGTGTGCAATTTGCTGCTGCGTTTTGCCCACAAATTATACAGTCAATTCAGTATATTCTGTATAGCGCTTTGAGGCGTCTCGAAGATGTGATTAGGTGCTATATTAAATGAAAGGATTATTATTATTTTCAGTCTCCGAGGACTGCAACCTTACCAGTCGTCACAAATAATGTAAGAAGCAGGGTTACTGGATACAACTTCCGCCCAGGATTCATCCTTGAGTGAGTGTGGATCTCCGCATCCCAGAAGAAAATGAACACAAAGCAAAGACAGATGTCACTGATTGCCATGAGACATGCAATCACTCCGAATACTTGCTCTGCTTCCACATCTAGAATAAAAGAAAGTAACTTAAAAAAACATATCTCCATATTTTCTCAGTTCATAAAACAAGCTAATATTTAAATGCACAATCGGCTGCTGCATTTCGCCCACAGAATATACAGTCAATTCACTTTACAGTATATTCTGTGAAGTGCTTTGAGACATCTCGAAGACATGACAAGGTGCTATATCAAATAAAAGAATTATTATTTAGATTCAGTCTGGTTCTCTGCATCTGAGCAAATAATATTCTGGGTGTTGCACAGGGTGCAAACTGGATTTGAATAAACGCTGGCATATGTATCTCCCTGATAGTGCTGTATTTATTTCTCTGATAGTACTGCCTGCTTACCACAATGCGTAAAATATGTGTAAACACAGATAAATGAATGCTGAAGATTGTGCAGTTTCCAGTTCTGTAAATATCCCTTTGCAACTTGCCCCATCTGGGCATCTACCTTGGATCGCTGGATCAAAATGAATTAAAATCTACTGGGACTAGAAAATGAACAAAGGTCAGAATGGAAACTTGTGACTCAAAATTTCCCAATTTGTCTCTGTTTTTACCAGTCAGAGGTCAGAGTTGACACTGAGCGTGTTGAGAAACCACTGACAGTAATCAAACAAGATCAGGCCTGACTGGAACACGGCAAACCTACACACCTATTGCAACACTGTGCGGAATGCTTCCCCTGTACTTCAGACTTTGCTTACTTAACCTTGAAGTCTAAAACAGCAGTTCGAACCCCATATCCTGGCATTTCGGTGCAGCAGAAATATTTTTGAAAGCCTCTCAGTTATTTAAGAGCAAACAAAAGGTTTTTCTACTGTAACTTCTGTGTTGGAAGAGGAAATAACACCTCTCGATCCTGTAAATCCCTCTTGTCTTTGGTTTTCTTGTATGATTTCTCGGCCGAGTGAATAGGCAGGAAGCCACTGTAAACAGAGGCGAGGCAAAGCATACCAGGTACTACGACAACAATAACTTGGGTTTGTACACCGTCCATCATCCAGTCTTTTTTCTCTTCTCTTCCCCCTCCCACCCTCCAAAAATTCAGAGGGAGGACAGGCCAGTTGATATCAGAAACTTTCCAACTTGGAGACTGACTGTGGATCTGTGGACCGGCCCATTGCTGCCTTTCCTTTCCTTCATTGACTTGGTTTTCTTTCTCTGGCTCAGTGCTGAATGTGTCCTGGTATTTATCACAAATCATATTCATCACAGGTGTCAGTCAGTGTCACTTTTGTCTCTGAGTCAGAAGGTTGTTGGTTCAAGCCCCACGTCGGGAATGGAGCTATTTTAGTCTGACACTTTTTGTGCAGTGCTGGGGGAGTGCTACAATGTGAGAGGTGCCGTCCTTCGGATGTGACATAAAACCAAGGTCCTGTCTGCCCATTCAGGTGGACGTTAAAGATCCCATGGCATTGCTCAAAGGGAAAGGTGTTTCTCTCCCAGTGTCGTGGCCAACAGTCCCCAGAAAAAAATTGGTCACTCACTTCATGACTATTTGTGGGACATTGCTGTGTGCAAATTGGTTGTGACATTTGCCTATAAATACAGTCACTGTACCTTACAGTTAACCCTGTGAAATATTTTGAGACGTTTTGACGATGTGTTAGGGTGCTGACTCAAATGCAACAACTATTCTTGCTCTCCTCAATCTTTTGTGACAAGGAAGCCATCTGTTGTAGCCCAATCTCTGCTTTTGTGATAGAATCTCACAATCGCCCGTTCTCACTTCGTTTTAGCAACCGAAAAAAATACATTGCTCGCGTTAATAAAACATAAATCATTCAGCTCCATGGCTGTTTTGTGGGGATATTGCTGTGCACATCTGTCGAGCCGCGTTCGCCCCACAATAATACAAGTCAATCCATTTTACGATACATCCCGTGAGATGCTTTGAGACATCCCGACGACATGGTGCAAGGCGCTATATCAAATGCAAGGATCAATTAACATTATTACTATTATGATGATGAGGATGATGATGATTATTAGTATTATTATTAAAAGCTTCGGAGCTGGTCTCTTACCTCGGTTGTATTCCTCTCCCAGTCTGGTGACTGTGGTGTTTGTGCTATTGACTATAGCCATGGAGTTCCACAGCCCTTTGCTCACCTCCCTGTCCTGGATCCAGAAAGGGGTGCAGATGGAATAGATGAGAGCCAGGCAGCCCACTAGCCCCAAGACGCACTGAAACCACCTGTATTGCTTCTCTCCCCACATCTTGTCCTGGGGTGGGGGGGGGAGAAAAAGAGAGGAGTGAGATTGGGTGATATGATTGATCTCCACAAATCTCTTCCTCTTCTGCACAGAGAGAGAAAGAGAGAAATCCCACTAAAGCTGATCTCGAAATGTAGGTTATCACTGAATTCTGATTAAAGGTCCATGAAGGTACCTCCAGTCTAATAACATGGCTTGCAAACTGCAGGAAATTGCTGAAATTGCTGCATGTATGTATGTATGTGTGTGAGTGTGTGTGTCACATTGGTCAAAACCAGCCCCAGTCACACACTGTCTTTTGCTGCTGCTGCTGCTGTTGTTGTTGTTGTGGAGGAGGAGGTTTTTTTTGCTGCAATCCAGGTGATCAGCTCCAGGTGATCCACTCTCACCTCCTCTTTCAAGAGAATCTTCCAACAAAGCCCAAGTGAAACAGAAGTGAAACCAACTGCACACCACGTGGAAGGAAATATTTTCAAAAACTCTTATCCAGAGCTCCCCCTGTTTTGCAAAGGGTGTTGGTTTGCACCAGATTCCACCCTGTGCTGTCTCCTGCCCTCCAAATCACTGGCATGGAATCAATGTGATGGAGGCAAAGAGTGGGGAGGGATGGGGAGGGGTAGAGAGAGAGAGAGGGGGGTGGGGGAGATACCCAGACTTTATTGAACTTTAGAACTTTTGAAGAGGAAGTCCTCCCTCTTCAACTGAGCTTATAGTTACCTCCTCCCTCTCACTCCCCCACCCACCACCACTTGGTTCAGAGTCAGGCTCCGCCACTGTCAAGTGCTCTGGGACGCTACCCTGAGTGACGGGGCGCTATAGAGATGCAAGCTGTTGTTGTTGTTAAGCGCTCCGAGACGCCAGCCCCCGCCTGAAGGGCACCGGGTAAATGCAAGTTATTCGTTCCTGTTATTGTCAACTGTATCGCGTTTCTGTTTCAGGAGCTTCTCGCCCCGGCTTGTGAGGAAGTGGTGAACTCAACGTCTGCTCTTTCTGATTTTATTTTCCGGTCAGGTGAGCAAAGTGGAAAAACAGGAACTTGGTAATTTTAACCACATGTTAAAGTAGTGTAGCGCTGGTGTTTTCTTATTACTAAACAGGGGAGGGATGTGAGAGGGTTGCTTCATTCCCTTTTTCATGCAACCAAGTTTTAAGAGAAATTTTTTTTCTTCCTCAGACGATAAAATGCATTGAATGGCTTCCTACCGTGTCCAACATTTCTATGGTGCTACAGTTGTGTGCTCAGTTGGTAGCACTCTCGCCTCCGAGTCAGAAGGTTGTGGATTCAAGCTCCAAGTTGGGAATTTTGCTCCTAACCTAGGCTGACCCTCTGATGTTGTGCTGGGGGAGAGCCACGTTTTTGGAAGTGACATCCTTTGGATAAGATGTTAAACTGAGCTGCTGTTTGCCTGTTCAGGTGGGTGTTAAAGGTCTCATAGCACTACTGGAAAAGAGAAGGGAGTTTCTCCCAGTGTCCCATCAATAACCCTCTAGATAAATTTGATCGTTCACGTCATGGCTGCTTGTGGGATATTGCTGTGTGCAGATTGGCTGCTGTGTTCATCTACGAACACACAGTCACTTCACTTTACTGTAAGTCCTGTGAAGAGCTTTGAGACATTTCAATGATGTGATAAGATGTTATTTCAAATGCAAGAATTATTATTACTGTCTGTCACCGCTTTGCAGTAATTATAGTCGTGTAGTAATTTAAGCCACTTTTATAGAGCTGTATTTGGAAGATTTTTTTTTCTTTGCAGGTAATTAAAGCCTTTATCTCACAATTGGGCTCTGATTGTCACCATCACCCATGTGAATAAAACAATAGCAGAATAAAGTACTCCTATTCTTTACCAATTTATCCCAAACTAGGCACAGTTCACCTGTTACACAAGGAAGATGTTTCCACTCGTCCTTTGAATGTGATCTCCCATCGTGAGCACCTAACCAGATGCTCAAACACGTCATTCCCACAGCCAGCAGATAGCACTCCAAACACATGGCCCAAGGTGAACAACAGTGTGCTGATCCAGTGCTCCCAAGTCCTGGAAGGGGATGAACGTCCACTGAGTTGGCAAAACCTTCTCTTTTCCAGTAGTGCCACGGGACCTTTAACTCCATCTCATGATTTCAGTTGTGTGAGGTGCTCTTGTTTATCTTGTCTAAACTCCATCTCCTTTTGGACTGGACGTGGACTGGCTTAGAGAACCATCTCTAGGCAGTTGACTCGAATACTGAAAAGACCATGTATATACATTGACATATCTGACTCACATTGGTGACTGACGAGTTTTTTTCACCCTCTGAAAGTTACCAAGTGTAACTGACTTTGCAGAACTTGCCAAGATCTGTCCAGCAATAAGAGGAATAGCACTGGGAGTGTTCTGTGAATTTCATGAGCTGGTGATATACCAGTTCAATCAAGCATATGTTCCTAATGTTAATCTCTTTCACGTGGAACATTATGTGATGCTCCTTGTGATAAGGCGGAGCTGTAATAATGGCTGAGGAAAGCTGTGCTCTTTTTCATGGAGTTTCTGCACAGAGCTCCTCGGAGAACAAAGACCAGAAAAACTAATTAAATTCTTTAATATGGTGCAGGTTGACATGACTTTCATTCCACAGAGTTACAGTCTTATCTGCCTCTTGGGAAATGCATTTTCTGCAGGATCTGAAACCCAACTTTGCTCAAAATGTTTTTGAAACCAAACTTCTTTTTCCAGATATTCTCAACGTAGAGAGGACAACTTGGTGCTCCGAGCTTTGAGGAGGCAAAAACATAGTTATTTTCTAACTGCAGTTATCTACCCCCCACATCATTTCATGTATTTTGAAGGGGCAATCGATCATCTTTCTGAGTTTGTGATCTCCAGAGTCCCATACGTGCTGTAGAACATCAAAGAATCCACTGTGTAATTACTTTCCCAGAGAGTTCACAGGCTATGATATACAAAACAAATTACTCCCTTGTCATAGTTAGTAGGTCTTGTTGGTTATTCACAATGTGTGTGAGAATGCACTGTGCTACTTCTTCACCCATAACCCTTTGGTGTTGCTAATATCAGACCTGCTTGTGTTATTTATCAAGGGATGATAAATTCTGAGGGGAGGGGAGGATGGTCATAAAATAACAGGAAATGGTTTATTCCAATCACTTTAATAAAGCTGTAGATGCCATAGTTCCCAATGAATCCCGTCCTGTATACAAAGAAAATCTTCACAGCTTGTGTTAATAAAATATCTGTACAAGTCCTTAACATTTACAGTCTCTTACAAAAGGGTCCATTCATATATATATATATATACACATATATATATACAGCACCCACGAAACTCAAAAGCGCAGCTTAGATCATGCCATTGAGCTTAGTCCATTCATAAATGTCCTGTTCGCAGACAATGTCCGAGTTGATCAGGAGATACCTGTCTCCCACACAGAAGTGTTTCTGACAGGCAGCGCACTTGAAACATTCCAGGTGGTAAACCTTGTCTTTGACTCGCATCGTCATTTCATAGGCTCGGATTCGCTTGTCACAGGCAGAACAAAGTCCATCCTGACCAAATAACCTGGGAGACATAGAGAGGTGGAGGGAGGGGATGGGGGAGAGAGTTCATATGAATGTTGAACAAATAATATCTGGTACAACTTAATTAGTGTGTTCCTGAATGCTAAACAGTACGGTGTTCTCTATTCTCAGTACACAAGATAAAACAACGTGATGTAACCATTTGTTGTTCTCCACTTGTGAACATTACTACAAGTTTAGATTCGCTCTTGGCTGGAAATGAGGAGAGCATCTCATGTTATTAACTCGTGTCTGGTTCTTTAATAACCTCATGCTCAGACCCGTTATCAGTGGCAGAGCCTTCAAAACTCTCCTCAAAATCCACCTCTTTGACCAACATACTCAAACCCTCCCATTCTTCCCGCCCTAACTGGTGATCCACACAATCTTTGCAAAGCGTCTCAAAACGTTCTCCCATGTCAAGGACGTCATATAAACCCAAGCTGTTGTATTAACAAATTAAATCCTTTAAAATTCTGCCGTGTTGTAATCAATGTGCCTTTAAGCTGCCTTCTGAAGGTGGTCTCAAATGCCAGGTTCCTGCGCTAGTTCACTTTTAATAATATAATAATAATCCTTGCATTTGGTATAGCGCCTTATCATGTCGTTGAGATGTCTCAAAGCGCTTCACCAGGTAAAGTGGAACGACTGTGTATTTTGTGGGGAAACGTTTGGAGGTGATGAGAACACTGTTTTGAATGTAATTTTAAAAAATGTTGTAATACCTGAGGTAGTCTCTTCGGCAAAGCTTTCTGCCCAGCTTGTAGTACAGTCTCCTGCCTACCTCTCCCAGTCTACAGCCACAAAGGTCACAACTCAAACAATCTTCATGCCAGTACTGATCAATGGCTTTCAAGAAATAGCGATCTCCGATACTCTGCTGACAACCCCCGCAGGTTAGTAACGAAGGAGGCATCTGTAGAACCTCATCCACTGGTTCTCTGTAAATAATAAATAATTCAGATTATGCTTCAAAAATTACTACAAGATCTACAGGGTGTCCACAAAGACCTGTTACCCACATGTTTTTTTCTACAGTGCGCTGACCAACAAATGAAATGTGGAAGAATAGTGATAATTGTATTCTGAAGTACATAATTGCATTTAGTGTTTGCTGTACTCAGACATTTAGATAATGATTTGTCACCATGTTTGGTGCAAGATCCTCCGTAAAATGGATGGAGTGATGAGGTGAAGCGCACCTCTGACAGCTTGTCTTGGCTCCTCCGTAGTCTCATACCGCTGTTTTTGTAACAGAGGGGAAAGAGGACTTTGGGGACAGTCTGTCGATCATGTACTTGCACACTGCACTGTAGTGATCCACAAGGCCAGGAGGAGGAGCTCTTATATTGAAGTTGGGTTAAGAATCATGTATCTGACCTCCATCTATGAGAAGACGCATTACACCTACCAACTTTTTCCTCTTAAAAATCCATCAGGGTCCTTCCTTCTGCTGCAGTGTCATTTTATAAAAAGGCCATTAGAATGCTAATCACCTCTCGATGCTTCTGTCTCGAGCAGTACCGGGGTATTGCTCAGAGAATCATTTAAAACAGTGGATTTACTGTCTGCGCTGCATTGCGGAACAGCGGGTATCATGAAAACCACTGCATTAGCAGTGATTGTTTTTCCTTGAAAAATAGCTGATTTCTGTGACGCTTGGGTGGTGGTGGGTGGGGTGGGGGGAGGAATCAATGAGTTGGATGGTGAGTTGAATCCATTTAGGAGAAGAAATGTGGTCGTTGTCAAGATTTTAAGCAAGAGTTTCTTTTTCGTTAATTCAGCGCTGGGGCCAAACCCTTGAGGTATTTTATTCATGTAATAAAAAGGCAATTGCAAAAAAAAAGAAAAGCTCCTGGGAAAGAAGTAATCAGGTTGGTGTTACGGTTTGGATGCCACCCTCTGTCCCACATTGTGCCGCAGACAGTAAATCTACGGCAAAATGAATATCTCAACAATGCACAGCGCTCCAGCCTGGAGAGTTGAAAGGTGATTAACATTCTAATAGACCTTTCCTGACAACACTACAGCAGTAGGCGAGGATCCTGCCGGGAGATCTTACGCTGCATTTAGAGAAAGCCTGGTGCGATTTTTGGTTCGGGGGCATTGTTCAAGTCTGGGAGGAATAGCCTGGACCAATAACAACTGCAAAATGGTTCCGGGACTGACTGAATTGTGCATCTGTCTTACTGCAGTGCACTGCAATAGTAGTATTTCTGTACAGAGTTGACAAAAGGCTGGAGAAAGGATGACTGATGTAAAACTCCCTCTGGCAGTATTGGTAGAGACAATTTCTTATCTGTTGATTATTTAATCATAAAACGTGGGTGGGGAGGGGGAGACTCAATATTTTTAAACAGGAACATTTCAAACTTGACTAAAAATGACCAGTTTTACACACTGCTTTTCTTCTTCTAATCCCCTCACACTTAGAATGTGTTACAATAACGAGACTGTTTTCTTCACTAACTTAGAACTGAACCGGGACCTTAAAGTGCAGATTGTATCGATATGCGCGCCATAAAGCACCAAAGTAAATCTACCACCAGCTCAGTCCAGGCTGCTTTGAAGTGTGATTTCATTCTTCTGATTAAAATAGAGACAGTTTCTCTCTTGGAGATTGCTGTGTGTTTTTCTAAATTGGCTTCAAAACTAATTTGGGTGGCTTTTGAATATTTTAGTCTAAATGGAACAGAAGTTTAGTCCCCTCGCCCCCACCCCCCCTTGTATTTGAGTAGTGCCTTATCGCATTGAGAACATCTCACAGCAATTCAATTTCCTGTAAAGTGTAGTGACTGTATTTGTAGGTGAACAGGATAAAACATTTGCCAAAGACTGACGGAACGAGACGAAAGCAGTTCATCACCAATTCGCTCTTCCATTTCTTTTTCAAAAAAAAAGGATCCTAATGACTAAACATTCTGTAACCAATTATTTTAATTTACTCGAATTAACCAGGCACATCCAACCTTGATGTACTCATTGCCCTGTTTTGTTGTGTTCAAACGACACAAAAACAAGCTGTTGAATCAATGGTTCCATTCAGCGGGAACACAATGGCCCTGGAGCACAAGGGTGGGGGCTGCCAAGCTCTGCGGTATTTATCGGTGACGCATTTGGTCAAATTCCACCGGAATTACTTCAGCTGCTCAGAAATGTAATAAACCCGTTTCCTCGGGAGTTGGTCCCAGGGGAGCTTGTTGGCACACACAGCTTTAGGCCTGCGTCTGACGGATCCAGATGTGGAAAGGCACATGAAGGAAGTGGAAGTGTAACTGTTCCAACATCCCTTTCACAGGAATCGGGCACCTTTACAACAGGCCTTTCAATAAATCGTAAACACTGATTTAGAAAAATCTGAGATGTTTTGGTTGTATAATAAATTAAAGGTGTGGTTTTGATCTCTGGCTGTTTCCCTCGTCCCACCAAATTCATAAACATTTGAATAATAATAATAATCCTTTGAATTTGACATAGCGCCTTATCATGTCTTCGAGATGTCTCAAAGAGCTTCACACAATATACTGTAAAGTGAATTGACTGTATATTTTGTGAGCGAAACGAGTGGTCCACGGTCAGTTTTGTTCTGCTGTGTTCATCTATTTGACCAACTACAAAAATCCTGTCTTTGAAGACTATTCTGTTCTCTATTCCACCGATAGCAGTGATTAATATGCAGCTATTTACTGTAATTCAAGCACAATTCCAATTACTTTCATTATTTCACGAGTCAGTAGGTCTGCTGTGGCGGACAGTCTGGCTTATTATGACATCTCCATAACAATGTAACAGTTCAGTTGTTACCCAATACCGAGTAACTGCCTGCAATGTGTTGGTGCAGGATATTGCAACAGCCACAGTGACTGACGCGCTTCCTGTTATTGCAATGGTGCATTTGGACCTCCGAAGCCAGGTTGCCTTCACAGTGCAAGTCTTCTAAAGATTTGTACTTGTGCGCTTTTGTACTTTTTGCGCACCTCAACCCAAGTGAACAAATGGTGCTATTGAATCACAAGCAAGTTTGGAAGTAATCTGGCTGCTAAACAGATAGAGGGGGGGGGGGGGGGGGGGGCAGGGTCCAAACACAGATGCCAAATATATTTCCATTGCTTTCCTGCAAACATGGGCATATCTTTATTCCCTCTCCCACAGATCCTTGGCTGTTTTGCACAGAGCATAATCATGCATTGTGGACATCTTTGCACACGTTATCCTGTGCTTTACCTGATGTAAGTTTGAAAGGAGAGGGGAAATCCACCTTTGAGAAGAGAATCAGAATCTGGTACAGATGTTAAATGGTGATGGTTATCCAGTCTGACTGGAAGAATTCGAGAGAGAGAACTCATGATTTTATTCTATCATGCATTGAAACATCACAGAATGGTTCTCAGTAATTATTGTCAAGTGCGCCAACAGCTCAGAGGTGAATAGCTTATTGATTAATCCAGAAGATTGTTAGTTAGGCCAGCGAGAGAAACCACCTTTATGTTTTGCCAAGTGTTATGGGTTCTTTTAACATGCCAGCAGATAGCTCCTCTATTTAATGTCTCATTCAGTCATTGGCACATCTGACAATGCAGTACTCCCTCAGCGCTTACCATAAGTGTGAGCTTAGACCACAAGCTCAAGTCCTGATGTGAAGCTTGAGACCACAATGTTCAGAAGCAGAGGCAAGAGTGCTGCCAACTGAGCTGAACTGACTACTTCATCAATGAAACAAAGATGTGGATGTGTTCTGGACTCTGTGAGCCAAACAATTAGGTACTGTGGTCCTAACTGGGCTAGAACCGTGTAACATGACAACCTGCTCATATTGGTAAAGCGCACCAATACCTGTGTGCAATTCACAAAACCGTACATGAATTCATCTGTACAAAATTTGCTGGTGCCTTTCATTATGAATGGAGCACTCATGCCTAATGTGAAGACCCATTAATTGTTCTGTCTCCCCTACCAATCGCTTAAAGATTTCCCATTGTCCCATTAACAATCTGTCTGCTGTTTGAATGTTAATTTATTTTAATTTATTAACAGAGTCTTAAGACAGGGACTCTAGACACCCAACAGCCAAGCAGAGTTTCTGCTGAATCCCAAAGCTTCTCAGCGTCCAAACTTGTGAACTTTATTACAGATGCTGAAGAGACAAATAGACTCCATATTTAACCTGATTTTAGCTGGTTGAACTCTCATTTTTCATGCGCACCCTTCAGTATTTCAATAATAATAATCCTTGCATTTAATATAGTGCCTTATTGCGTCGTTGAGATGTCTCAAAGCGATACTGCAGAGTAAACTGACTGTATATTTTGTGGGCAAAATCCCCCAAATGATACAATTATACAATGCAACATTGCCCTTGTCTGTTCGGAAGCGCAGTTCCACAAGTGCAGGCAACCAAACAGTGCGTCATCAAGTGACCATTCTTTATGGACCAGCCTACATACACTGTGTGCTCCAAAGCAAATCCCATGTTGTCCTCACCCAGCATCCAAATAAACATTTCCAGCACTGATGGAGATCGTCAATGGAGATTTTTCTTTTCTCTCTCCTTCGCTTCACTCCAACTCATCTCACTTCCACTCACCCAAACCTGGGACATTGAGGCCAACTGTCCACACTAGAGTTGCACATTGATAGCAGCTATGTAAGCTGAAGCCAGGGACCTGACCTGGGATCTGGCCAATATGGCTCACTACCCACCCCACCAAACAGTGCATTTACCAACTGTACCATTGAGGAATCAAAGGTCAATTCTTAATGATCATCACTGTATTTGCTTCACAACTGCAGTGTCCTCCAGTACGGACATTGCTTTAAAAATAAATTGCTGTGCAAAAGGAAGTGAGGTCAATTTTAGGAGCGTGCAATTTTATGCATTGCTGACAAGAGCAATTTTAAGTGCTCCAAGAGGCTGCTCTGCGTGAGAGGCGCTATATAAATGCAAATTGTTGTTGTTGTTGCAGCATGCGCTTTCTGTACTCACCCTATGGACCTCTGCCCTTGGCCTCTGGGCTCTGGTTCAGTGGTTGGCAGGAACCTAGAAAGTGAGGAGCGAATGTGAGTGGAGTAAGTACACCAGCTGCACGCTCCTGGACCATGACATCTTACGCAAGGGTAAGTGGACCTCGCAGACCTTGAAACGCCTGACTTCATTGGTGTACATCTAGATGTTAGGGAGGAATTATATCCGATTCCCTTTGCTCTTGAAGGAGTTGGCTTTTTGCTGTGATAAGTATCCACAGGCACTGGCAGCTTCTGTTGCCTTGCTAAGATACCATTTTTCACTAAGTGTTACCTTCCCCTCATCACTGAGGGACACTGAGGCCAGCTGTAGTGTCATCCCAGCTGAGATCAGTGACTCCTCATCCCTCCTGCACTCTACCGCTCCGCACTACAGAGGGCTCCACACTATAGCTCCACACTAGAGTTCCACATGTCCAATACATTTATTCAGTCAGCCATCCATTAAATCCAATTCTATAGTTAAACTCCACAAATGAGGAGATGTCACCAAATGAACTGCTGACTGGTTACTAAGCACAGAAATTCCTCCAAAAGATGTGTATTTTTGTTTAAAAAAACAATGAAGTTCAATTGGTGACATCTCCGTCTCCGCCCAAATGATTCAGCACAAAGCCCGCTTCTGTGGATATAACCATGACAGTTGTAGAGAGATTCAATGGAAAGTTTCCCCTTTGGAGTTATTTTCGACTATCTGAGAGGCTGTTCGACTCAGTGATGACTCTGTTTCCATTCAGCCCGTGGAGTCCGTTCTGCCATTTTATTAGACCATAGCAGATCTTTTAATGCCATTTACTCATTCTTTCTCCATATTTTTTAACACTGTTACTTCCCAAGTGTCTACAGGGAGACCCTGTTATAACAACATTGTGTTTTGAGTCCAAAATTACACACTGCATTGTAACAGGTCCGTGAAAAACAAGTAGGCAGCTAGCCCCAGGTCCGAGGTTGATGCTGATGTTGCTCCTGGTTCAGCCTGGTCGGCTTCGTGTGTGGAGGAAGATGGCCTGTCTGTACCAGAAGTCTACCACAGTTCCACTAACCCCAGGTCCATAGCAGGCCCACATTATAAACTAACACGTTTATACTGAGATGAGTTTTTAACTGTGTGGTCCTGTATCTCCCGTTTGAACAATGATTCTACAATTGTGGCTTTCTGGGGTGGCACGTTCCACATTCTCACAATGCTTTGTGCGGGAAGTGTTTCTGGTTTAACTTTTAACCAGTTTAGGTCCAATTTTAAAATGATATTCCCCCCTGTTCTGGTTCATCTCAACAGAAGAGTCATTCCCTACCTCCCCCTTCTTCTCCCTTTTCCTATATGCTTTAATCAGATCACCTCTTGACCTCCTCAGCTCCAGGGAATATGACTCATATCTAGCCAGCCTCTCATCACAGCCACTAAGTCATCCCATATATCATCGTGGTGAATCGCCCGTAGCAATAGGCAGGAGAGGACAGTTGATTGAATTTGATGAAGAATTAAGAGTTAATTTATTTCTGTCAGTCTGACGGATGCACTTTCTCCTGTATTAAAATTGAACATTTTGTCTCTCTGATTTGGTTTTGACACAGACATTAATGGCCACAGCAGGCGTTAGCCTGAGAGTGGATGAGAATCACTCGATGCAATTGGCTTAAGGGGATTTATCCCCCCCCCCCCCACCCCGCCAGAACACACACATTTCTTTTCATTATTACAAGTACGAATAATCGCACTTGACATAATATTTTCATTTGATATAGCGCCAGTTTACATCAAAATGAGTTTCACACCATGAGTTACTTTGTAGTTTGACTGTTAGCTACATAGGTAAACATAACAATGTTATCAATGTCCTAGAAAGAGCACTGAGATAGAAGCATTGACTTGTCAATGGAGTGGAGGTTATTCAGTCCATCGAGCCTGTGCCACAGGTCCCTGCACTACTAAATCACCCCTTTTATTTATCAATTCCACTTTCCAGTACTTTACTCATATCCCCTAAAGGGTTAATTGATAGGGTGTTTAACCAGATCCCTTTTTCATATGATTCCATTGATTCAACATCAATAACTACTTGTGGCAATGAATTCTACACCCTAACAACCCTCTGAGTGAAGACATTTCCTTCTAACCCTTGAGAACATGGTCTCGAACACAACTCCCTCTGCGGTGCACTGCTGAGTTGAAGTGCAGGTGCCAGGCTACAACCTTCTGGCAATGATTAACGTGTTTGTAGCGTGTGTGGCCAAGGGGAAACCCATGCCCACTCAGTGCACTACAACATTCCTGCAGCACGGGAGGAAGCATTTGCTGTGGAGATTTATACCTTTTTTTTGTAAGATTAACAAACTACACACTGCCTTATTTTTACTTTTTTTAAAAAATAAGAGAAGGTCCGGGTTTCTTTATTCTATGTGTCACACATTGTTATTTTTCTGTGAGCCTTGAGCCTAACTTCTTGGTTGATCTGTTTGTGATTTGCTGGTTACCGAGAGAATTGGACGGATTCTAGTTCCTCGGGAGACTTGAGCAAAAGAGAGCTTAATCCACACACAGAAAGTGACCTTTGTTTTATTTGTACACATAGTCACTTAACTTTGTGCTTAGTAGGGAATTTACTATACAACAATGGTTGTTTGTGATTTGTTAAAACTAGTGTGGAATCTAAAAGCTCATAGGCTCAGTAAGGGTTACCTGATACTAATACCTCAAAAGATTAAAGCATTTGAGAAATGAAGAACCTTACCAAGTACCCATCATAAGATGTTCCTGTGTGGTGGGCTATCAGAGCTAAACCTAATCTAGTCTTCATCTAATAGTCTGTGTTCTGGGCATAGATGCAGTCACCACAACATAAAGGGGCCTGGAGAAGGATCAAGCTATGCATGGATATTGAGGAGATTTCCCTCATTATCTTTGCAGATCAGAGAATAACATACCCAGAAGTTACTGGGTGGAGTGAAACTAATAATAATAATAATAATAATAATAATAATAAACATCCTTGCATTTGATACAGTGCCTTATCACGTCTTCTAGACTATTGCTGAATTAATTTGTACATGGTTTGTAGAAGTAGAAGCAGAAGCGCCCATTTCCCCAAAACAGGTTCTCCACACGTCCATTCCCTAATGTGGAAGCCCTGATTCAAATGGTTCAATTTGCTTTTATAAGCAGACGAAGAACATCCCAAAGTTTTTCCAAACATTCCAAAGTTAAGATTCCCGATGCTGCCACTGACAGCTGTTCCTCTAAATCCATGTGGTGTCACCTTACACTGAACCAACCACATTAGTGAGCTTCAAAGGCGAAAGAAAGGCTAAATTTCGAGCGATTTCTGGCTGCTATAGAACTACTAGATTTTCCTCACCAAATATACAGTGCATCTTTGTTATTTCTAAATTGTTACACAGTCCTGGCATTAATCTAGAACATACCGTGAACCCACCACAATGTAAATCATACAATCGATTAGTGATTCTACGGAGGGGCAGTTGTCTTATTTTTAACACATTTTTATGAGCAAAAAGGAAAGAAGGCGTTTTGCTGAATTTAGCAGCCAGGGCCACCCCCATCTTAGCAGCTTCTTCCTAGTGCCTGCACGAGGGTTGGGACGAGAGGTGGGGGGTGGGGAGAAAGAGAGAAGAAAAACCCTTTGAAACCAGCTCAACAATATATTGCTGATCAGTGCAAAACTGTCACCCACATTTGAGGGGTTGGACATGGTGGGGGGGGGGTTGGGGGGATGAGCATGGCCAGCCATCTGTGTGAAAGCCATCTGTGTGGCTATATTCCTCTCCAGCCTAAACAATTTGCTAAATTAGAAAGCCTGTGAGCCTATGTGCACTTCCATTGATTGTACTCTTAAATGCACATTAATCACACCACCCTTTTAAGATGTACGTTTTTTTTCTTCAATTCTCGTAAAGGCAATGAGAGACATTTCCACCCGTGACAATTGCCCTTGACTGCCTTGCTCCGGTGATGGTTCTTCACATGTCTAGGCCTAGAGTAATAGTAATCCTTGCATTTGATACAACGCCTTATCACATCTTTAGATGTCTCAAAGTGCTTCACAGAATATACTGACAAGTGAATTGACTGTATATTTTCAACAGTAAGTGTAGGGAGATGTCCTAGTGCAGCCTAATCATGTGCTCACCAGACTTACCAACTGAATGGCAACAGACACGAGGAAGCCTGGCTGAATTCTCCCCCGCTACCACCCCCCCACCCTCCTTTGCCAAGCCCAGGGGCATTGAATCCCACTGTAATGTAGCCCAGCCTTCAGTTAGCTCAGCACAGACAGGGCATCAAATCTGGAACATTCTGGGATGGTCAGACAAGTAGCTTTTACCAACTGAGACGCTTGGAGGGCTTTTTACACAATATTCACAAAGAAATAATAATAACAATAATAATCCTTGCACTTGATATAGCGCCCCATCATGTCATTGAAATATCTCAAAGCAGAATACAGTAAAGTGAAGTGGGTGAAATGCAGCAGCCAATTGCGCATAGCAAGTCGATTTATGAGGTTCGATTGAATGCGAGGTTAAAACTGCAGATTGCACCATAAGTTGCTTTTTTTTAAAGAAAAAATTAGACTTGGAGCTTATTTCTTTCAACATGCTTTTGCTGAAGGACAGTGTCACAGTCTGCCTGGATTGCAATCTTTCCACCTCAGTGCGGCACCAGTATGAAATCAGCTAATGCTCTCTGCTATTTTGCTACCTTCGTTTTGAAATGATTTTGTGGTGAAAACTAACTGAGCACCAAGGTCACTTACGAAATCCTTTCCTTAAGCAACTGTTCTAACCGCATATATATTAAACAGTTCAAGGCTTTCTGCAGAGAGTTTTTTTTTGAAAATAAAACCTCATCTGTATATATATATATACATATTTTAAAAAAAACTCTCTGCGGAAAGCCTTGAACTGTTTAATGTAACACTGTAAAATTGTGATCCTGGCCCCAATACAGTAAAATCAAGTGTAAATCTCAAAGGAAAGATA